ATTTGCAAATCATTTATCTGACAAGGTTCTAACATCCAGAGTATAAAAACTCTTACAACTCAACAGTTAAAAGACAAATAAACCAAGTAAAAAATTAGCAAAGGATCTGAATAGACATTTCTCCAAAGAAGATATGCAAATAGCCAATCAGCATATAAGAAAGTAAAAACAACTCAAGAGTTTGGCTGGAATGTGGAAGAGAATGATATGAAAATGACTAGAGGCAGGAGGGTCAAGAGGAAGAGACCAAAGCAGGAGCGTGTTGGAAAGCCACTGGGGATGCGGTCAGAGGAGAGGAGAATCAGAGGGTGGGGAGAGTACCAGGGGGTCTGGGCTCCAAGCACAGGGTGGAGTGGGGTAGGAAGGATCAACCTCAGGAAGGAAAACCCCTTTTCCAAACAGGTGAGGTGGAGAAAGGGGATAGGTACATATACAAGAATGGAGATGTCATCAGTCAAGATGAAGAAGTTCCCATCTGATGGCACTATTTTTTCTATAAAATAGAAGTCATATGCTGAGATAGAAGGACAGATTTCAACAGCACACATAGGTGAATTGGTTTAAGTTATCTTTGTTAGCAGCCTCTTCTCTCCCATACTACTAGTATCTCATGTCCTATTTCATGTATTAGTTGACCATCAACCCTCGCTAAGGACTTTTGTATTTTTTAAGCTGACAAAACTAATGATATAATGTCATCACCACCTCTACTACCAAGTGACAGAGGTCCCCAAGTGATGGTACCTCTACTGCCATCTGCCACTCTTGCCTGCTGATCATCTACATCCTTCAAAAATCTCTCCTCTGCTCTGTATTTCTCATTAGATCTTACAAGGACCACTGAAGCATATTTTCTCTATGTTCAGAAAGGTAGTTGGTCGTTTCTTAAGCATTTGTTAAATAACTTCCTAAAAGTCTGAAATACCACTATGACATTGAGTTAGGACTGAAATATATGTGCAAGAATGGCCCAAATCAAAATATTAGCTCATCAGTTCAAATGCAACATAATTTCCCCTTGAAACAGAACCCCATATTAACTTGAAGTAACCAGTGGCACAGCATCCTCTAACACGGGTTCAATGCAACAGACATGACTACGTCATTTCCTGCTGTCCACCTGACTGTAACTCATCAAGCGCAAACCCCTCAGTGCAGTACAGGAGAACAACTTGCAGTCCCACCCAGCTGTCTTACTACTTTTCCAGTCTCAATTATGGTCATCCTCCCAGCCTCTCTGGACTAAGTCCAGTTTCTCAGCACACACTGTGGTCTTTCTGTAACCATACTCAAAAGCCTAAATCTTATCTACCTTGTATTATCCAGTCTAGGCTGCTGGTGAACACAAAGCGGGTGATCAGTGAAGTGAAGTGATAGACACTCAAGTCATGTCCAACTCTCTGAAACCCCATGGACTGTAGCCCACCAGGCTTCTCAGTCCATGGGATTCTACAAGCAAGAATACTGGAGTGGGCTGCCATTTCCTTCTCCAAGGTGATCAATGAGTGCCTGTTTATTAAATGAATGATTGCCACCATTGTCCTAATAGGGCCTCATCATGTGTGTGACACAGTTTCCTTTGACTGGAAACAAATTTGCCAATGACTGGATTTTTTGAGTATCCTTCACTCTCCTAATGCAAATCAGACATTCTCTAACTTTCTCACAGGCACAAATTACAATATGCATTGAATCAGACAGACTTAAGAAATATATCCCCAAAGGCAAACTCTCTACCTATCATTTCTGCCATGTGACCAAAACTTTTAAAATGTCTCTCTGAAGGAAGCATAAATTGCAAGTAACCTTAATATCCAAGTGTCACTTAGAAAATCAACATTTAACATAGGGTGGCTGTCCTATGTATTTTGCTTTTACATGTGAAGTGGTTACATTTATTAGCACTACAAATTACAGAGCACATTCAGAGGCTTAGGAGGCATGAAAGAATATGAAACTGCTGCCATTTCAGCCACCTCCCCAGTTTGCTCTCCCCTTCCTCAAGATCTACTATAGAACGTATTTTGAGGTTTCTACTTACTGAAGCCTCTCTTCCCAAAGACTTTCTATCAGTTCAGAGCAAGAAACATGGTGGGGCTAGCAAGTCAGAAAGAATGCTAGTGTTGAGCCTGAAGGAAGCCTTGAAGAAGGCAAAGTTGGTCAAGCTAAGCTATCTGTATTCTGAGATTCTTGAACAGAACAAAGCCCCTCATCTCTGCTTGTGCCTTGGCTTCTTTCAGCACACCTCGCTTCATCATGCTCTTTCTTCCTACCCTTGCTCCAGGACAGTTCTCAGCCAGCAGATGGAACAAGGCGTTTCTGGATCGGCAAGCTCATGTGGTACTCCCTTTCAAATTACACCCTTCATCACAGAGGTTTAGCAGAGACATCACTGTACAAGGATAAGAGTACATTATTCCTGGGCCTAGATGGCCTGCATAATAAAAATGACATGGCCACACGAGAAGATCCAGTTGTAACTGCTTTTTTCTTAAACTGCATCACTTAACTTTTTTACTACAGCTGACATACACTGCTGTGCCAGCCCAGGAGTGCTGCAGAGTACCTTGTCTGTGTGCATGCGTGGATCCACTCTGCTCTGGGCTCCTCTCCCACGTGGGTCACTGAAGTGCTGAGAAGAGCTCCCTGTGCTGCACAGTGAACCTCTGCTGATCTGTTTTACATATGGTAGTGTGTCTATGTTAATCCCAGTCTCCTAACTTATCACCTCTCCCCATGCCTCCCCTTCGGTAACCATAAAGGTCCGGCTTAATCAATTCTATGGTTTCTCATGTAGTCATGTACGGGTGTGAGAGCTGGACCATAAGTAAAGCTGAGCACCGAAGAATTGATGCCTTTAAACTGTGGTGTTGGAGAAGACTCTAGAGAGTCCCTTGAACTGCAATGAGATCCAACCAGTCCATCCTCAAGGAGACTGGTCCTGAATATTAACTGGAAGGACTGATGCTGAAACTGAAACTCCAATACTTTGACCACCTGATGCAAAGAACTAACTCATTGGAAAACGCCCTGATGCTGGGAAAGATTGGAAGCGGGAGAAGAAGGGGACGATAAAGGATGAGATGGTTGGATGGCATCACCAACTCAATGGACATGAGTTTGAGTAAATTCTGGGAGTTGGTGATGGGACAGGGAGGCCTGGTGTACTGCAGTCCATGGGGTTGCAAAGAGTCAGACATGGCTAAGCAACTGAACCAAACATTTAATTTTGAGATCTGTGAGTCTGTTTTGTAACTAAGTTCATCTGTTATGAATTTTCAGGCTTTCCAGGTGGCTCTGTGGTAAACAACCTACCTGCCAATGCAAAGAAACATGGGAGATGTGAGTTTCACCCCTGAGTTAAGAATATCCCCTGGATAAGGAAACAGCAAACTACTCCAGGATTTTCCTGGAGAAGCCCATGGCCAGAGGAGACTGGCAGGCTACAGTCCATGAGGTTTCAAAGAGTTGCTTAAGACTGAGCATACACACATGCATGTATCATTCTTATTAGAGTCCACATGTAAATAATATATTCATCTTTCTCTGTCTGACTTCACTTAGTATGATAATCTCCAGGTCCATTCATGTAGCTGCAAATGGCATTATTTTGCTCTTTTTGATGAACAATATGGAAGTCCCTTTAAAATATAAATATAAGGAGGGATGTAGGAGGGGGGATACGGATGGGGAATACATGTAAATCCATGGTTGATTCATGTCAATGTATGGCAAAAACTACTACAATATTGTAAAGTAATTAGCCTCCAACTAATAAAAATAAATGGAAAACAACAACAACAACAACAAAAACTAAATATAGAACTACCATATCATTCAGCAACCCCACTCCTGGGCATGTATCTAAAGAAAATCATCATTTGAAAAGATACACGGACCCTAGTATTCACTGCAGCACTATTTGCAATGGCCAAGACATGGAAACAATCTAAAATTTCACAGGAATGGATAAAGAAAATGTGGTGTTGTTCAGTCCCCAAGTCACGTCTGACTCTTTGAGATCCCGTGGACTGCAGCACACCCGGCTTCCCCGGCCCTCACCATCTCCCCAAGTTTGCCCAAGCTCAAGTCCATGTGGTACACACTACTCAGCCTTAAAAAAGAACAGATGTAAATACTGTTTAAAACCATATTGTGAACTGAATGCAAGCATCAAAAAGATAAACTAATGAAGCTAAAAAGCAAAAAACATACTAAGACTTGAAGTCATCAAAAAAAAAAAAAAAAGTAAGACTTAAATTCAGTTGCTCAAAAATTTAAGTGTCTACTAAGCCAAAACATTTAACTTTTTAACACTGAAAGCAGCCACTAAGTGGTATCAAAAACTCCAAACCTTATAAATAAAGCATAACTGTATTTCTTGAAGGTGTAGGTACAGTTCCAGAGCATCACCCCCAAAAGAATATGCAAAGTTCCTCCCAGCTCTGATTCAAATCTTGCACACTTTCAAGGCTGTTCCAGATAAACCTTTAATATCCATCGTATTTCAACTCTTCATGTAAGCTGACAGCCTACATTTACCTTCAGACCAACCTCAAGTTCACCTTATAGAAAGTAGACTAACTTTAGAGAAGCAAAATGGTTTGCATTGTTGTACTGCAACAAAATCAGTAATAAGATTCTAATCTTTTAAATATCCCATTCAGAAACTTTAGGCGAACGTTAAGGAAAAACTTTCAATTGAGTGCATTTTCCCCCCACCTAATCCCTAGGTAGAGACATGGGTCCAGAGATTTGGTCAACATATTCATACTGAGCTTCTAGGTTTAAGGTGGCAATGGACAAACTTCTGTCTGCCCAGGATCTGGCAATTCCAACTGCACTGCATGGGAACGGGCTCGGGAAATAACCAGAGCTTTTACACCTAGCTCAAAACCACTTGCCCACAACTTCAGACCTTTTCCTCACTATGCACAACTTCACAGAAGTGCCTTCTCACAGCAGGCTTCCCCAGCCCCACCTGAGGCCAAAAGACTCACTGCGAAGGCAGCGAGGTCCCGCCGGGGGCTGGAGGAGGCCCCGGAGGGAAAGGAAGACAGGCCACCCACCTCGGCTCGGGGAGGGCAGCCCCCCAGGCGAACCTTCGTGAACTCATCCTTGTAAAAGCACAGCATGTCCGGCCCCTTGGGCAGGTTCATCCTACTTTTCTCCATCCCGCAAGACACCGCCTGTCAGCGCCAACCGTGGACGAGGGGAAGAAGCAAGACCCTGTGCGTACCAACCTGGCAGCCGCAGCCAGAGCCAGTTGCCCTGGCAGAGAGCGCCACTTCGGCCAACATGGCAGCAGCCGCACCACGGCCAATCAGCAAGGGCTCCACGGGCTGGCCTCCGCCGCAACGGCCTCTGCCCACTGCAGCCAAGAGGGGTGTGGGGGTCGCCGCTGCCACCGTGCTGTAGGTCATGCTGCCTCCATGCAGCGGAGGGTGGCACTGCAGCTCAGGCAAGCTGGATTGAGCAGTCTGGCTCCCAGTGAGGTAGGTCTGAGAATGAAAAGCACTGGCTGGAGGAGTCTGGGGCTTCCTCTCCAGCCACCGTTTCCACTGGGAAAAATCTACCTGCAGCATTTTTCCAGGATCTCCTCCCTGATCTTGCTCCAGGGTCTGGATCAGATCTAGGTGGGAGGTCAGAATAACCTTGGGTCTACACTCTTCTTAAGGGAGCACCTTTGAGTAACTCTGGTCTTCACTCTTCTTAAAGAGCACCTCATCACCTAGTTAGTCAGAACATAGAACACAAATACATGTGCATGCATATTTATTTGTAATCGCCTTAGAAACCATTCACAACCTAGAAGTTGAGAGTTATGCTTTATTTGGTGAGAATTTTTAGGACTTCAAGTCGGGGAGACAGCAGCTCAAGTGAGCCTGAGCGAACTGCTCAGAGGAGGCAGGGAGTTAGGGGACAGGTTATATAGAAGTTTTGCAACAAATTGTAGGTAGTCTGAATGTCAAAAATGTTTTGTAACTGAAAGAAAACCAGATATCCCAAGTTGAGAAATTTAGTGCTTTTCTATGTAAAGAAAGATGCGAGAGACTAGGCTTACTGAAATTATTCCTTTGATATGCCCCTCAACTATCTGGGGCTAGTAGTCTGTTTTCACATCCTGAGCTTCCTCAGGACTCACCATAGGGAATGGCTGCAGTTTGATGGCTACTAGATGGCAGGCACTATTTCCATCCTGAATACCCTCAGGGCTCACTAGCTCACCTTCCATGGTGATTGCAATTGCTCACAACTGTGATATCCTTTGTTTATTGATATGGCAGAAACTATTCCATATCTCCTTCCTCAGTGATCCGTTCAAAGAAAAGAAAGCCTTCCTTAGTGATCAATGCAAAGAAATAGAGGAAAACAATACAATGGGAAAGACTACAGGTCTCTTGAAGAAAATTAGAGATACCAAGGGAACATTTCATGCAACGATGGGCACAACAAAGGACAGATATAGTATGGACCTAACAGATGCAGAACATATTAAGAAGAGGTGGCAAGAATATGCAGAACTATACAAAAAAGATCTTCACGACCCAGAAAATCACAATGGTGTGATCAATCCTGTAATACAAAGTCAGGTGGACCTTAGGAAGCATCACTACAAACAAAGCTAGTGGAGGTGATGGGATTCCAGTTGAGCTATTTCAAATCCTGAAAGATGATGCTGTGAAAGTGATGCACTCAATATGCCAGCACATTTGGAAAACTCAGCACTGGCCACAGGACTGGAAAAGGTCAGTTTTCATTCCAATCCAGAAGAAAGGCAATGGCAAAGAATGCTCAGACTACAACACAATTGCACTCATCTCACACACTAGTAAAGTAATGCTCAAAATTCTCCAAGTCAGGCTTCAGCAATGCATGAACCGTGAACTTCCAGATGTTCAAGCTGGTGTTAGAAAAGGCAGAGGAACCAGAGATCAAATTGCCAACATCCTCTGGATCATCAAAAAAGCAAGAGAGTTCCAGAAAAACATCTATTTCTGCATATTGACTATGCCAAAGCCTTTGACTCTGTGTATCACAATAAACTGTGGAAAATTTTGAAAGAGATGGGAATACCAGACCACCTGACCTGCCTCTTGAGAAATCTGTATGCAGGTCAGGAAGCAACAGTTAGAACTGTGCATGGGAGGGAGGAACCAAGATGGCGGAGGAATAGGATGGGGAGACCACTTTCTCCCCTACAAATTCATCGAAAGAACAATTGAACGCAGAGCAAACTTCACAAAACAACTTCTGATCGCTAGCTGAGGTCATCAGGCACGCAGAAAAGCAGCCCATTGTCTTCGAAAGGAGGTAGGACAAAATATAAAAGATAAAAAGAGAGACAAAAGAGCTAAGGATGGAGATCTGCCCCAGGAAGGGAGTCTTAATAGAGGAAGTTTCCAAACACCAGGAAACCTTCGCACTGGTGAGTCTGGGGGAAGTTTTTGAATCTTAGAGGGCAACCTAACTGGGAGGGGAAGAATAAATAAAACCCACAGATTATGTGCCTAAAAGCAACTCCCAGCAGAAAAGTGCCCCAGACACCCACATCCACCACTAGCAAGTGAGGGCGGAACAGAAAGGAGCGGGTGGCATTGTTTAGGGTAAGGACCGGGCCTGAGTGCCTTGAGGACAATCAGAGGGAGCTTTTGTGTTACCAATTTAAACTGTGGGATAGCAAGAGAGAGAGAGAAAATTAACTGGCCCAAACACTGCCGGCCGTTCGCAGAAAAAACGGTCTGAGTAAATCCAGAGAAGAGCTCGCAGGCTGCAGACTGGCTCAGCCCCACCAAAGGCAGGAGGCAAGGGGGAGGGGAAAGGGGCAGGCTCAGCCCCAAGGACCGCATCCCCTACCACACTGCATAAAGACCTCCAGTTTCTAACCAAAGACTTCCTGAGATTCTGGATGGTCGACCAGGAGGATCGTGGTGAGACACAGGGCGCACGCACCTGACCGGCGTGGGCGGGGACTGGGGCTGGGGACGCGGAGGGGAGAAGGCGCACGCACCCAACTGGCATGGGTGGAAACTGAGGCTGGGACTGCAGAGGGGAGAAGGCGCGCCGCACCCGGGGAAAGTGCGCATGTCAAGCTCCTGGCTGCCTGAGCCGCTCGGGCAGGGAAGGCACAAAACGCAGGCGCAGCCGAGTCCGTGCTTTTGTGGAACACCCGAGGGCTGGAACCGCACGCAACACAGGGCACGCTCCATATAGAGCAGCCGGGAGCCTGAGCAGCGTAGACGGGGAAAGCAGTGCCAGTCCCTCCCCGAAGCACGACGGAACTAGTAACCTGAATAAGAGTCCACCTCCACCTGCCTGTGTTAGGGTGGAAATTAGACACTGAGGAGACCAGCAAACAGAAGCCAAATAAACAAAGGGAACCGCTTCAGAAGGGACCAGTGTAACAGATTAAAATCCCTGTAGATAACACCGACTACACCGGAAGGGGCCTGTAGATATCCAGAAGTGTAAGCTGGAATGAGGAGCTATCTGAAACTGAGCCGAACCCACACTGACCACAACAGCTCCAGAGAAATTCCTAGATATATTTTTACTTTTTTTTAATTAAAAAACTTTTTTCTTTTTTCTTTTTTCTCTTTTATTTCCTTTTAAAATTCCCTATTACTCCCCCATTAATCCTTAACTTTCATTTTCATAGATTTTTATGACTTTTTTAATTAGGAAGAAATTTTTTTCTTGTTTTTTTTTCCTTTTTCTCTTCTTTTTTCTATTTTTCTTTTTCTTTTATTTCATTTTAAAGTCCTCTATTACTCCTCTACTACTCCTTAATTTTCATTTTCACTACACTATAACCTTGCAAAAAAAAAAGAGAGAGAGAGAGAGAGAGAGAGAAGCCCTATTTTTAAACCGAACTTCATATATATTTCTAAATTTTTTTCTGTTTTTCTTTTTGTTTTTAATATTGTATTTTTAAGAGTCTAACATCTACTCTAGATTTTTAATCTTTGTTTTTCAGTATATGATATAAATTGTGGACATTGAAGAATCCAATATTCAGTTCCCATTTTTATTCAGGAGTGTGTTTATTACTCTCTCCCAATCTTGACTCTCCATTTTCTACCTCAGAACACCTCTATTTCCTCCTTTCCCCTTCTCTTCCCAATCCAATTATGTGAATCTTTGTGGGTGTCTGGGCTACAGAGAACACTCTGGGAACAGACAACTGCGTAGATCTGTCTCTCTCCTCTTGAGTCCACCTTTCTCTCCTTCTGCTCATCTCTATCTCCCTCCTCCCTCTCCTTTTTTTCATGTAACTCTGTGAACCTCTCTGGGTGTCCCTCATGGGGGAGAATTTTTTCACCATTAACCTACACATTTTATTATCAATGCTGTATAGTTGGAGAAGTCTTGAGACTACCAGAAGAATAAAACTGAAATCCAGAGGCAGGAGACTTAAGCCCAAAACCTGAGAACACCAGAAAACTCCTGACTACATGGAACAATAAGAAATAAGAGACTGTCCAAAAGCCTCCATACCTACACTGAAACCAACCACCACCCAAGAGCCAGTAAGTTTCAGAGCAAGACATACCATGCAAATTCTCCAGCAACGCAGGAACATAGCCATGAACGTCAACATACAGGCTGCCCAAAGTCACACCTAACACATAGACCCATCGCAAAACTCATTACTGAGCACTCCATTGCACTCCAGAGAGAAGAAATCTAGTTCCACGCACCAGAACACCGATGCAAGCTTCCCTAACCAGGAAACATTGACAAGCCAATCGTCCAACCCCACCCACTGGGTAAAATCTCCACAATAAAAAGGAACCACAGGCCTCCAGAATACAGAAAGCCAACTCCAGACACAGCAATCTAAACAAGATGAAAAGGCAGAGAAATACCCAACAGGTAAAGGAATATGAAAAATGCCCACCAAGTCAAGCAAAAGAGGAGGAGATAGGGAATCTACCTGAAAAAGAATTTAGAATAATGATAATAAAAATGATCTAAAATCTTGAAAACAAAATGGAGTTATAGATAAATAGCCTGCAGACAAAGATTGAGAAGATGCAAGAAATGTTTAATAAAGACCTAGAAGAAATAAAAGAGTCAACTAAAAATTAATAATGCAATAAATGAGATAAAAAAAACTCTGGAGGGAACCAAGAGTAGAATAATGGAGACAGAAGATAGGATAAGTGAGGTA